GTTACTTCATTACTCTGTGCTATTTTAGAAAAGTCAGTGAATTCACCTGAGCCTCAAAATACTAACTGATAATAGGACAATATTTGATTCAAGATTCTCCAATACTCCCTCTACCACTGTGTGATGTTCTTATGCCAGTTTTAATGCCATTATACATGTATTTAACTTTCCCAGGGAAAAGCCCATGTGGCCTTTTGTTTAAATTTAAGGTTGATTCTCCCTAAGGTGTGCACAGTATAGTTGGGATTTGTGGAATCTAGAGATTATTGTAATTCATTTTCCCAACAGCTAGTAAATGGAAAGATTGCACGCTCCTTTTTAGCATACTCTGTCATAGTCAAACATCAAATGGAAGAGCTGGCCTTCATCAGAGGACTACAGATTTGATGAATATCAGTACTAGCAAGAGTTGGCATTGAAGGACAATCACTTCTCATTTATTAGGGGGATAAAAGAAAAGGAAATGAAGAAAACTGCCCAGGATCCATGTAGCAGCCATGTGAAATGTACAGGGCACATGTTACCTTCCAGATTGAGATAAAAATTTGAATTAGTACCTTGCAAATGAATCCGTTAAAGTGCTTTTACTTTTCTTTTTTTTTTTTAATGAGAAATGATAAGCACTTCAAAAGACTGAAAGCCAATAATGCAGTAATGCTACAGAAGCTTTCACAGAGTTGTTCAAGGAGGTATGATCTGAGCAGCTGGGAGGCGCAGGCATGAATTCAGTGTCTCACATACCATGCTGACCACCTGTAAACTTCTGCTGTTAACCCTGAGCAGGAAGCCAAAAGCTTTCAATCAAGTAAAGCATTCTTAACTCCAAATTCTCATATAAATTCTAGATGTGACTATAAAGTAAGAACATCCGATCTCCTTGCATAAATGAACACCCATTTTAATATTTTATGTCCACCCTCTTTATCACATAGTGTAAAATTTCTAATTTGTTGCTGTTGCTCTTGTGGCTGTCATCTTGAGAAAGACTAGAATTCAGTACGTATTTTCCTATGCATATTTGTATATTTGAATATGGTCATGTATGTAGGAATCTCTCCAAGGGAGAGAGGGTCTCTTTGCTAGTCAGCTTTATGTTACCTCAACATAGTACCAAGGCAACTAAAAAGTCCAAACAGTACTGCACAAGCTCAGCATCTACCCCTTGACTGTATTACCTCATGAGGCAGAGAGCGATAACGGCTATGTATGCAGAAGCAAGCAGGTGATTGCAATTCCAACCAGGAGCTTAAAAGAAAACAAAATAACCCTTACTCCTAAGCATTTGAGTTAGGAATTCCTGATCTCATTCATACTCTCTTGATAATATCTAGGTAACTCTAAATATATAGGTGCATGATTGACCAAATGGAACTTGAACCACAAAAAAACAATTTCCTATTTGATTAGATGCAAACCTAATATAAATGTTTATATTATGACTGTGTAGATGAATCATATGTTTGAAATCAGACTTAGTATCTACTGAGGTAAGTAGAAAGAATATCTAGCCTACCAAAGAAATATTTTGCCGGCCTATCTAAGGATATTTTCATTATTTCCACTGGTTTCCCTAAAACGTTTCTACCTCATATCATCCATCTATCCCTAAGCCCTATCTTTCTCCACAAGCCCTAGTTTGAAGTCCATATTTGCCAAACAGTCTTTGATGACCCTCCTTAACTGTTCAGGTTTCTAAACTCATAAGCTGTACCACAAAGTTTATTGCTTAATTTTATGTATTTTTTCTTTTATTTTTCTGCCAAGAATTAGGTTGCTAAGTTGATAAGAAGAGCTCCATCTTTTATAAGCTGTCTTTGGATCTCAAAGAACATTTAACATTTGGTGATTGATTACTTCCTTATTAGTAAACAAGTTGGCAACATAAATTAAAGAAATATATCCTTTTCTGCAAGAGAAGCAGTTCATTTTAGGGATGTCCTCTGCCTGCATGAAATACAGTATTTCATGTTCTTCTTGACATATTGTAGTTTGGAGTCATTGTGGTTTAGAATGCTATTATTGTTTACACAAATATTTAGGGCACATATAAATTCCATGAAGAAAAATCCATCTAATCATTTTTCAGATATCACTATCAGACATGAATTCACTCATTTTAAAGCTTTACTATTTTAACACCCAGATACAAAACACATGCAATATTTGCATAACTTAAGACTATAATTTATAGTTTTACATGTTTCTTTGCTCTGTCTCCTGTAAATTGTTAACCAGACCTTTGATCAGAGTAAGTACTTTTGCTCTCTTTGGCAGAACTCTAAAGGATAGAGTGATCTTGCATTAGGGTATACTTAATGTCTAGTTGTCTCTCTTGGTTTTATTTTGGCAGTTATTAATAGTTAGTGCCAAGAAATATTCATTCATTGGGTCTGGAGAGTAGCAATATTTTAATTCTATCATTTAGCTTTTATTAGAACAAAATTCTAAGGAGATGCTTCCCATTTTCCTCTATTTAGTTGTACCTGGATGTAGTATATTTAGGAAGGATATAATAAATGATGAATTCTCCACCAGTTTTCTAGATAGCATTTGATTCTCTATCAACCTCAGATTTTATCAACTGTTGTTACTCTAAAATGCATTCATGCACATTTGCTTGGTTCAATACATAGAAACTCTTATCTTTATGTATCTGCAGGTTGTCCTCATCCTTAGTCAATGGCAGCCTCTTTAAAATGACTTATGAATTCATTTGACACGATCCTATTAGTCTCTGGCTGCTTCTTTTCTTTCCCATATGTCAAGACGTTCCAGGCTCAGTTGGTGTGTTTCCTACTTCAAACTAGAAATCAACCAGTTCTTCAAGAAGTCTTTGTCTCTTGTAATGGGAAATATTTTTTTTTCTTCAAAACTGTAGTCTGTATGTTAGGAATGCTTATTGTTATTGAGCCAATATTTCTAGACTTCTTCAGTGGATAGAACTAGAATAAGATAAAAATACATTTTGATTTTGATCTTTGTTTTTTTTTAATTCAATTTCAAGAACATGGGACTTTATTTAACCAGTTCTATAGTACATCTGTATGTCCTTTCATCCACACCAAGAATCTGGTTCTCAATGACACATGGGATAGTAGAGTTAGAGCTTGCAGGTTTACTTGTTTATTTTATTCTTATTATATTAGTCTCAGAATGACAATAAAAAATGATTGTCATCAGTGCTAATCATTTGAACATTTGTTCTTGCATGGACTTTCCCATTCTTCCTTAATTCTGTCTTACTATTATAGTCTATCTACAGCATCACAACCTGTAGCTATTGCAAAATAAAATCTCTCTCCCTTTAACCCTCACTTAGTCTTAGTTCAATGAATTTATTATTAACCAGTAGGATTTAAGTCAACATTTCCTAGCCATTTTGGTTGTCTAAAGATCATTTTATAGTAGTTCTAGGGAACAATACTATATGATTGCTTGCAAGTGAGTAAGACTTTGATTCTCCCACCTTTTACATTTATAATTGACTCTTGTTGACTATAAAGTATTTGAAATTAAACTTTCTTATCTAAAATGTCTAAAGTGAATTATAATAATTCCTTCTGGCATAAAATGCTGCTGTCAGAAAACCTGATAACGAATTAATTCCCCCTTACAAGTCATATTTCTATCCACATGCCTAAATGTTTAACTCAGAAAGATGAAATACATTTTTGACATTTATTCTGTTCCCTTTCTTTTTGGTTTTCTTCTTCAAAGATTCTGATTACTTGTATGTTAGACACTCATTCATTCACTTTAATATGTATCACCTTCTCTCAAATCTTTTTTATTCTTTTTTAATTTCTTTCTATTCTATGTTGCATTTTTCACTTGTTATATCTCTTTTCATTTAGTTGTCTTTTATCACTTTTTATTTATATATTATTTCTTTCTTGATATAATTTCTTTCTAATTATGCTTTATGTTGCTCTTTCATATCTGCATAATGTTATTACGTTATTTAACTCATTTTGAAACAATTTATAATTTTGATCTATTTTTCTTATGTACTGTTGTTTTACATTCATCCATTTTGTGTACTTGTCTATAGGTATAATATAGTCTTCCTTATTTTACTTTTTCTTATTTTCTAATCTGTAAGGAGTTTTATCTCAATAAACTTTTGTTGCTCACATTTATGTGAATGGTTTCCCTGCACACTTCCAGAAGCTAAATTGGTTTTCTAAGTACACAAAGTTTCATTTCCTTTTGTTTTTGTTAGACCAAGGTTCAGCAAACTATAGGGTGTAGGTGAAACTAGGCTTATATCTTGTTTTTTTACTAGGGGTCCTACTAAATTAAAAATTTTTTAATACTTTTGAAGAGTAGTAAACAAATGAACACACAGTAATGAAAACATCATAGAGCCAATGTGATCTTCAAGGCTAAAATATGTTCTAGCTGAGCCTTTTACAGAAAGGTTTGCCAGCTCCTGACACAGACTAAAAACTATGGAAGTTTGTATTCGGTTTTCCTAACTATTCCCGTCTTCTACTTTTATCTGGGCTCTCTCTCACGTTAGGTCCTGGCCTGGAGAGGAGACTTTGCAGATCAGTTTCAAGGTTGTATTTCCCATTCTCAAACGAGCAGTTGTGCTTTCCAGCATAGTTATATTACTGTTATACTGAGTTTGGGTTTGATGCTAGCCTTTGGTTTATCTTATACAGATGAGGGTAAGACAACAGGTCATAAAGCTGTTTGTTAGTTGTGTACCTCCATTTGTATTTTAGGGTTTGAGGACCTACCCCATCCCCTAGTTTTATAGTTACTATCTAAATATTTTAGGTTTTCTATGGAATCATTCAGTCACTTTTCAGATAGGGATTCAGGATGATAACAAAGCTACCAGCACTGACACATTCTTCCCAGAATCCAACTTACTCACTTTCAAACAATTTTCTTAATAAATTGTGTTAAATTTGTTTTCAGAGAAATTTTTATCCTGAGTATTTCAGAACACTAAATAAATCAACATGTTCAAATTGTTTGTTTTTCTCTAGAGTCAAGCTCCCATTATGTAATCTCCCTAAAAGCTTTTAACAATGCAGGAGAAGGCGTTCCTCTTTATGAAAGTGCCACCACCCGATCTATAACAGGTAAGCTAAAGCCACTAATGCGCTTGTGAAGAGGTACTCAGTGTTTGAGTTATTGTAAGAAAAAAGACAATCTGAAGCAAAATAAAACAAAATATAAACATAAAAAACCTTAAAAATGAATAGATGTTGTCATATTCTGAGCCTTATGCGTGTATTTGGATGTTCGCATGTGTATACATGCACACGTATGCACACAAAAGGTTTTAGTTTTCATTGGAATAATTGAGTCTGCACATTACTTTGTGGGAGGAATTCTGTCTATAAATTAGTATGTGGACTTCGAGATTGGAGCTTTCTCCTCTGTCATTTCAGTAGCTGCTTATTTTTGGTATTCTGAGCATCTTGCTTGACGTCAATCTATTTAAGTGGGGAAGTCCCTCATCAGAGGCTGCCAAATAGACATTTGCTTCTCTATATAAGACCTTTAAGCAAGATGACATGGATGAGTGGTCATGTTGGGGCTGATTTGGACTAGGCTGAGTCATATAGGTAGCTTCTTCCTGAACTGTCACTCAGCGCCTGGGGTTTCTGGACATGACAAGAGTTGGCTAATTCAAAGGCCTATCACTGCTCAAATAGTTATATGAGTTATAATGTAAAGGCAGTGAATGAGAAAAGAGCTCAAGAAATTGAGAAAGGGGATGGGTCAGAAGGTGAGAGCTAAGCCATTTGTGGAGACTATTAGTAAAACTGGGTTTCCTCTAACACGAAGTAACACCTCTAATGGATTCAGAGCACCTGAAAAATTACTTTTACATCCTGTTTCCCCCGGATAGAAACCTGGAAGTAAAACTCAAGAGTTTCATCTGTATAACAAATGCTTTGACACCGCCTTCTCCCCCAACTCACACCCCTCAGGTCTCACTGAACTTGTCATCTACTTTCACCTTTTTTATGAGAATAAAGACTCTGAGATAACAGCGCCAGACTCCATAACAACCTGATCAGAGAGCATGACAAATTGCTGGATTACGTGGTTTAGTTTAGTAGGAATAAATGGTTAGAAAATAGATAATAAGATCCTGTGGCTTCAGCTACTTCCCGAATTTATGCAAACTTTGTGTATTTTGTCTTCTAAGCCCACAAGCTCCATCGAGATATTCGTTTGAAAATACAGTTATGTGAAGTTACAGTTTTTATGTGATGGTGTCCAAAATACCATCACTATATTGATTTCAACCAGATTTTCTAGTAAAGCAAAATTGCTATTAATCTCTTTGTATCTTTGGTCACTGGTTTCAGGGTTTGAGATCTGTCCAAATTTGGATGCAAAATTTGATGCGCATGTAAATGTATTAATCTACCCTTGGAGACAATATATTTTGTTAAGTCACCAAGATTGTTCATAACTCCTCATAAACGGTAAATAAAAAAGTACCGTAGAGAATATTTACTATCAAATGTATTATCTTCAGAATTAGGAAGAATTATCTAGACCTAGGATTTAAACCAATACATTGTACAATGATAAGCATCTGGTATTTTTACTTCTCTCCCATTCTTTTTGCACTACCATAAGTAAGAAACTTCGAGAGATAGCAGGACCTTTTGCTGTACCAGTGATTCTCATAAACACCAATTTTCTGCCTCTGGGAAAGGAGGAGATGCTTGTTGGTATAGCGGCTTTGAGCTGTGATCAGGCCACACAAAATCATATTGAGGTTAGTCTTTCAAAGGTCTTATCCTTTTACTAAAATTAAAGCCCATAAAGAAGGACCACTGAGTTGGCAAAAAAAAAATCAGTTTTCCAAAACAAACTAGTATGAGTAAATGTTGTAGAGTTGAAATAAACTGAAGATAAATTGCTCAGAAAATCATTTGAGATACTGTTAGCATCTTTCCCTATGACATTTGTTGGCATTTTTAATTCTCAGCATATGACAATCTCAGATAGGTTTCTAAAACACCAATGATCCATAATACCAAAGCTTTTTTTTTCTTGATATGTCTCTAATCCTAATGGATCTGAGAAATGAAATGATAGCAAAGTTGGAAACTATGTAAGGCGCTTTCTCATTGCAGAAATGCTAGTAATAAGTTGAAAAAGAATGTATGAAACTGGCCCTTTCCAAAAGAAAAGAATCCACTCTTCCTGGAAGTAGAATTATTTTCATATGCTTCTACACATCATAGAGAACAAAAGACAAATAAATGGAATCAAAGGTTAATACTCTTAGAGAAACTCTATCAATAAACCTGTTGTGATGCCACATTGAAGACATTCTCTGTCTTTGAGCTGAGGCAAAGTATTCCCAAGAGCAGTCTTGGAAAAAAGCCAGAATGAAGTAAAAACAAAAAACATCAAAGGCAATGAAACCATCAAGCTAAAGTAACCATTGAACTCTGCAGTTTCTACTTGCATGTGCTCAGAGATTTTTGTGAGCTCTGAGCCTCATCTCAGACTAGGAATAGCAGTATTCCAGCTACTGGAAGCTCCAATAAGCCACATGCAGAAACTTTCATTTTTTCCTGTTAAAGTTTTTTATTTCTCTTTGTTATAAGAATCACACATTTTGAAACTAGAGAAAGGAAGAAGACAAATAAATATCAGGGAGATAATGAAAGATGTGTGAATTAATTTATTCTCATCTATTTTATCAATGTTTAAATGAAGAACAATCCAGATATAAAATTGTGTTATTAATTTTAAAGTTCATTTTGAGTGTGAATATAATGACTAAAAATTTATGAGCTCTTACCAAAACATATATTAAGAATTGAATAAGTCTGTTGCTTAGAAAAAGGTTTGAGGAGATATCTATATCATCTATCTGTCTATCTTCTTTTGAATGTACATATAAGGAACATAGTAGGAAGAAGGAAAAATACCCAGAAAAGGAGGATGACAAGCAGGAATAGAATGTTTTGAAATTCAATTATCCAAACAGATCAGAGAAAAAAATGATACTTGCAATATGTGTAATATGTACTCACAGAAGTTCTTGCTATCCACTAGACTATAATCTGCTTTGTTGGAAATGATGCATATCTGCTGTATCTAATGTGATAAGCACCAGATTCCTGTGACCACTGAAAACTTAAAAGTGGGTAGTGCAGCACTAGAAGTGAATTTTAAAATTTTTTATTTATTTTAATTAATTCCAATAGTAGTGGAAATTGCATTAAACCATATAGGTCCAGAGGAAGTGATGAGTGGAATGACAAGATAAACATGAAAATATTATTGCCTGCAATAGAAAAGAAAAAAAACATGGCCAAGAGTAGAAATTCCTGGATCATGAAAGCCCATAGATCAATACCAACAAATGATATGGCTTGAAATTTGAAGAAACATTCTGGAATTGACTCCAAGGAACTCAATAACAATAGTCATGAATACTGTGCTATTCTAAAATCAGAAATAGCAAGATTGACTGTTACCTTTTCTTGAAGTAGGACTATTATACTTCAAAACCTTAAATAGGGCACCTATGAAAGACTAAAGTTAACCTGTGTTTACCCACAGAACTGCATTAAGCAAAGAAATAATAAAGTAACCCTGTAACACAGATAGTTCAAAAGGAGTTTATATACTCAATAGTGCCCTTCTGCATATATAAAATTGTTCTTACAAAGTCAGCTTAGAAATAGAAATAAGTGAAGCAGCACCTGCTTTAGTTTGGCAGAAACAACTTTCACTGCCACACAAACCTGATGAATGTTTCAGATTCTTACAGAGGCCACAGTGTCCTCTGTTCCCTCTTCATTATTTCATAAACATCCCTTAGCAAAGACACATCAAACAAAATACAGAAAGCCTGGCTCTGCCATGAAATTCTCTCTTTCTTTCTTTCTCTCTCTCTCTCTCTCTCTCTCTCTCTCTCTCTCTCTCTCTCTCTCTCCTCTCTTCTCTTTTTTCCTCTCTCTTCTGTTTCTATTTTCAGTTTTATATTTTTCTCCCAAGACCACAGACCAGTGAAGTACTAAATCATTCATTAGAAAACAGAGTGATGGATAGGGGATAGGAATTTGAAATTCAGGGGACAAAGTGAAGTCATAGTCAGAACCAGTCAGCAGACACTCAGCATTGAATTTGGCTGTTTAAAAAAGTAAATTGTATGCTGCTATAGACACTCTACATTTTAGCAGGGCTTATCTACCCAAAAGGCATCGTGTGCCCAACCTGAGAGCTGTGCTGTCACATCTCAGCTTTTTGTTAGAGGAAATACACATTATATAATATAAAGATTAATTTTTAATGTAAATGTACTAAATATAATTTTATACACTTAACATTGGACTATTACCATGGCCACATAATAAACTTCTCTGATTATAATCTTGCAGGATAAAAATAGGTACAAGATTCCAGGGGAATTTCCTGAAAACACACTTCATTTTTCAAATTCCCTTTATGTTGTGGATTAAAGCATGTGGTATACCTCAGTACAAATCTCATCAGTATGTAGGTAGTTAGCTTTATCTTCTCATTCAATAATGTAAAGTCTTTCCACTGAACTTGAAATTTTAGAACAATACCAAAAACTGAGCTAATTTCTGTATAAGAATGTAAGTGACATTGACATTTCTACACTTTCTTTAAGGAGGATAGTCTAAGAAAACCAGTTATAACAGTTGCTATCTCAATCCTAATTATCAAATATAAATAGACTGGAGTGACTACATGTACCTGGTCATTCTGGTTTTGGACAATCACAACCGTTTCCTAGTTGGTATGGACATCAGGGTTTGTTCTTTATTTTTTGTTTCTTGCCTAAATAATATTTCTTCAGATATAACCTAGGCAATAATGAAAGAATTAGGAAAACCAATCAAGTTAAATAATGAGAAGAAAAAAATACAGTTGTTCAATAAACATTTGTTTCCTTTTCAGGAAGAAACAAATCAGAAACACCATTTATCTTATTATTTTATGTCATCTGTATAGTAACTGAACTGATAAACAGTATACTAAGGCTTTTAAGAAACACTGTTCAACTTTCCAACAAAAAAGGACTTTTAAAATATATAACCCAAAGTGATAGCCAAATTGTTAAGAAAGATACTCTAAGGAAACAAGTTAAAGTATAGAAAATGTTGTTATTTTGGTAGCATAGCAATACTGTTTCCAATGTCTCTTCTGATTGAATTAATTGTATTTTTTTCCTGTTCGTCTCATGTTCCCTTTCATTTAACTCATTGTGATGTGTTACCACTGATGTTTATTTTTTGACGCTTTTGTTTATGTATTTATTTGTTTGTTTCATTTGATGGGTTTTTTTAACCCAGACCCCACTGACCCCGTTGATTATTATCCTTTGCTTGATGATTTCCCCACCTCCGTCCCAGATGTCTCCACCCCCATGCTCCCACCAGTAGGTGTTCAAGCTGTGACTCTCACCCACGAGGCTGTGAGAGTCAGCTGGGCGGACAACTCTGTCCCTAAGAACCAAAAAACATCTGAGGTTCGGCTTTACACTGTCCGGTGGAGGACCAGCTTTTCTGCAAGTGCCAAGTACAAGGTGAATTTCTATTTGCTTGAAATTTAAATTGTTTTAAATGCTTTCTGGATTGTCATGAGTCATTTTCCTGCTGTGACTTTACACGGAATAACAATGCACTTTAATAACAGTATCTAAAATTAGTTCAGAATAATTAGGTCTTAGGAAAGAAACATAAGGCATGGTAGAAAAACATCAAGAGCTGCAAAAATGCCATTTGAATTCCATCAGATCCTGAGGTTTGTATCAACAGTTTGATTCTGTGCAGGGGAATATCATTTTCCTTTGGAAATATTGTGGCCTTTAGAAAATTTTTAGATAAATTTTAGAATATTTCTTTTCATTTGGAATGTAGATTGATATCCATTAATGTCACAGACACCCATCTTACAGAAAACAATAACTGTGAATAGACAATGTAAAGATACTTTTGTAACATCTTCAACATGCACTCTCAGCTATTCACATTGACTTCCTTGTTTAGCTTTGAATATACCCTTCTGTGTTCAAGAAAATCCCCTTGAACTAATACAAATTTTAACAGCCCGTATTCTTGTCCTCATCACTGAGTCATTTTACAACCCCTCAAATAACTCCTCAGGGATATATTTGAGACACTGTCATTGCTACTTTCCAGTCTGTACCATCCAACCTCAACAACTATAACAAAGAGTTATTTACTGAGACAATTGTATTACCTCCTAAACCACAATGTCTGCATATATAAACACTACATTAAGTGTAAACAAAAATGCAAAGATCAACAAATGATTATCAGACACTTGCTTTATACCTATACAGTTCTAGATCATAGAGAGATGCTTATGTAGAAAGAAAAATGCTTTAATTATTCTTACTTAACATATTACGTGTTTAATTTTAGAATAAGTTATACATTATCTCCTTAGATGTACATGAAATAATTCATAAGTGATTCAAGTGAGATGACATGCATTTAAAACTTAATGCTTCCCAAGATAAAGACAGGTTATAAAAATGATTTGAATATAAAAATATAAATGTCACCCAAGAACTAACGGATCAAGTAACTCAACCCTGGCACTGCAGTTTCTATATGCTTTTATCTCTATTCTTTGCCACTCTCTTGTTGGTAGTTCCCAGGGAGAATTTAAATCCTTCACCTAATATTCCTTGCACTGACCTCCCTTCTCTGTTAATGCCAACCTCAAGTCATTTGGATAGGATGAAAGTGTCCTTTGGAAATTTCTGACTCGAACCCTGGAGATATAACAAAACCCATCGAAAGTTCTGTAAGTGTGCCTCTTTCTTCCTACAACCATTCCGGATCGCTTCTAGTGTCTTTCAACTTTTAAGTGGCATAACATTCACATTTCATCACAAATCAAAATTTAGTTGAAAGCATTTAAGAAATAGTTTTTTTTTGTACCGCTGCCCTTCTAGACCAGGTATTTGGGAAAACTCTCCAGGCTAGTCCAAATAGTATCATTGATATAAGATATGTGGTTAAGTACCCCATCTATCTCCTTTCAGTATTAGACTTAAGACTCAGCACAACCATAAATAAAGGTAACATTATCAGAAAAGACAACCAAGAAACCAGATGAGAGTATTAAAAATATCTCTTTATAGTTGGTCCAATTTTAAGTTTACTTTTAAAAGACTACTTTTCCCACTTTAAATTTTTTTATATTCAAAATTGCTATAGTTTGTACTTATATTCATTTCACAGAATGGACATGGATGCTTTGCCAGAATGTGAAATGTCCTAAGGGACAATGATTGTTTTCTTCAGAATAGCTCGAGCTCCAAGATTTCTTTAGGCAATTGATTTCAGTTGATAGTTCTTACAGCAGACATGGAATTATTGAGTCTCACAAAGAATGCCTGTAATGTGAGACCAAATTCAAACAGATTTTTAACTACACCTTTTCCCATTATCTTCCCTAAGGCTTTCAGTTATTAACATAACATCCTTCTTCATTCACATGCACACATACACACACACACACACACACACACACACACACCATTCTACATCCACACCCGAGATGCAGAGGTTTAAAGGAGAGAGTCAGGTAAGTTGAGTAGCAAAGACAAGGGAAAAATGCGCGTGCCCGTGTGTGTGTGTGTGTGTGTGTGTGTGCTTCCTACTCTCTCTCTTCCTACTATAGCTTTATGAGGTAACCAAGGCAAAATATTAAAAATAACATATATGGCATCACATGATCTAGGCTCAAGAGTTGGCTTTTCTATGACTTGTCTTGTCACTAACTGAGTCTCCTCTATATGATGGAAACATTTACACCTATTTTAAAAAGAATAAGAAGATTCTTCATAGTTATGTGTACGTGTGTGTATGTGTGTGTTTCTCTATAAAAGCATGAATTAGGGGTATAACTTAACTAATTTTGTTGAGTCTACAGAGGACATCATCCAAAGCCCTCCCCACAGAAGTCACCATATACACCATTTAGCCCAAATCAAGCCATAGTGCTGATACCTATGTTTTTATTGTCTAAAAATACAAATTAACTTTCCTGATAAAATTGGGGAATTAATTTTTCACTGAAATGTTTACTCACATGCTGTTTTACATGAATTTCTACTCAAAATACCTTCAGTAACAGTTGCTTGGTACTCACCAGACACTGTATGCATGTTATTTAATTCTTACTCTGGGCCAGGCACTGTTTTGCTTGATTTAATTCACATTTGAAATGACACCAAGAGGTCACGGTCATGGTTACCTCCATTTTACAGATAAGGCACAGAGAGGAACTATCTGAGTATTCTGTGTCTATAAAAGTAATTGCTCAAGGTTTTCCAAAGTATTTCTAGAGTCAGTGATTTAAGATAGGCAGTAGACTTCTATTTGTTTCGAGAGTGATTTGAATAATTTAATGGTACACATACAACGTAAATCTGTCAGGCTAGAACATTTATGTTGCTTAGTGGTGCCCAAAGAGACTAATTTTATCCAGGTACAGTGCTGCCCTCTTAACAGAAATGTTTCTTGTTGCCCCATTTCCCCTTAATGTTCCTATTTCTAATACTGAGAGACATTAGTAATGATAATGGAAGAGGGCAATATTGGAAGACATGTATCAGTACATCATAGCTGCCCACTGTGCTATAATGGGTAGAATTCCTTCTTTCTATAATACAATATTTTTAAAATCATATAAGGCACATTTTTATAGCTATTTTAAAGAAGGGTTTCTGATAAATGCTTTTGAGATCATCAATTTAATAGGATGAATGGACATATCATCAAAATGTTATTAGTGCAGTAGAATATTTACCGGGTGTTGTAACAAAACATAGGAATTTCATGGCTATATCTTAACCGAAGATATACATACTACAGTAGTAGGGGAAAGATAGATATAACATCTTTTGTGAGGGAAAAGAGCCTTCCTTGATTTTCTAGATACAGATTTATAACAAATGTGATAAATATAGAAGTAAAATTAAATATGTGAATTTTGAATAAGATGAAGATCTAAATACCAAGCATAAATATGTATTTATAAGAGTCATAAAGAATATTGAATTTGTCAGATCATATGGAAAATATATAATCTGTGAGTCTAACATATTTTTTCTTTATTATCTTTTTGATCTTTTGAGTGTTCAAAAAGGATGTAATTAATTTACTTTCTATTAAAGTAACTAACTTATTTAAAATGTAAAGAATGAATTCAAAAGACTTAAATAATCTTAATGCCACTTTGCACACCAATGTCATCATTTAATATTTATCCAGTTTGGTGTTCCTTTTCTGATAAACTGCCTGAGTTTCCACACTCAAATGCTGCTTTGATGTGAAGTGTGCACAATGAAATAAAAGCTCATGACACAGCAACCCCTTTTTATTGCAAGGGCTAGATTCTGGAAGCAATAATGTTTGTACCTTCAAGTCTTTTTAAGAACATGATGAACACCAGAATTCAATGAATTAACTTTGTTACTAATGGAAAATAATGATGATCTCTGTAAAATGTACAACATTAACCTCCAAAAATAATTTTGATTATGAATAAATTTAAGTTTAGGTCATAGCATATGACTTTTAGAAATGTAGTTGACAGATAGAAGTGGAGTCTGTCCTGTTGCTGAGGTATTCCCTCACCTAGGAAAACGGATCAGCTATCTGCCCCTTTGACCAACATAATACCTGATCTTATCATCATGATTTTGATGTATAATCAGCCAGTGTAAGCTGGTTGATGGAGAGGTACAGTGAGTGTTATGTCTTTGCTCCCTTGCTCTTTTGTTCTGTTAAACAAATTTATTTTTGTTACCTTATTTGATAGTCTTTTTACATATCTTGAGTTACTGAGTTGATAGAGTTCATTTTTTTATCTCTGTGCTTGTTTCCTACTTGTATAGTCAGAAGACACAACATCTCTGAGCTACACAGCAACAGGCCTCAAACCAAACACAATGTATGAATTCTCAGTCATGGTAACAAAAAACAGAAGGTCAAGCACATGGAGCATGACTGCACATGCCACCACTTATGAAGCAGGTATGTGACAAAAGACTAGCCCTTCAATATTTGGTAACACTTTCCAAGGTTTTATGGAAGTTGAAACGTATTCATAGTTCCTCAGTTATACATCAGCTTATATAAAATTTTTATCCCTCTAAATGGTGAATAGAATTCTCTTTCCCCTGGAAAAGAAGTCTCCAATAGATTAAATAATCTGATTGAATGATTAATATTTGGCTTTTTAGGGTGTTAATTTTTGGAAAATGAATATAAAGTTTCTTTTCAATATATTTAGGCAAAGAATAAAAATCTTTCTATTGACTTCTGTCCAAAACAGTCATGTCTTTGAACAACAGTTGTCATAGGTATTTGCTATTTTGAGAGAAGTTATGTAGAAAAGAAAACATTGAATTACAATGGTAGTCTCACAGATACTCATCCTAAATGAGGAAAGCTGGATGTAGGAAGATGTTTCTAGATAGTCTTGTTTACTCTTTGGAAATGGGACAACATCATGGAAAACCTTTATGAAGACTATTTCTAGTTAGGGTGATTTAATCTAAGCATCCTCTTCTTCTACTTTATATGTTATATATATATTAACTTTTTCTTCCAAAATTCTGACTTGGATGTCAATATATATAGATTCTTAGGAAGATTAGGACCAACCAAATGAGTTACATACTATGGAGACAATAAAAGACCTTTTCTTTCCTTTTAATTGAAAGGAAGTGAATGGGAGTTAAATGTAAACTAGAAAAAAAAATCTGATTTCCCTAACTGAAAAAGAAGTAGTAATTTCATCTTAAAGCAAGCAAATTCATTCTTTTTCCACTTTTATAAATATTAAATGCATGCCAATATCTGTCTTGATAAATGCACCATATTGATTTCTCATCAACTTCCTTGCCTTGTAGAGACACCAATGGTGACACCCATTGCAGACAAAAAGATATTAACTTTCAGAAATGTGGTTACTAGAAAGGGTGATTGTCAAATCAGACAATGACCCAGACAAAGGTGTAAAGAGCAAGTGGATGAGATCCCTGGGTGATGATGAGAAACAAGAAGTAATTCACAAGTGTCTGCAGGCTTTATAACTGTAAGAAGGAAATGAGGTGAATGAAGTAACTCTAGGATTTGCTTCTAATTCTGTAATAGCATAAAGACTCTATGGTGCTTCATTGTCATGTGCTGAAATAACTCATGAATTAAAAAAGGGTGGTTGGCAAATACTTGAAGTAAGATGGTGAATCCTTTCTTTTATTCTGAGTAACTTAAGTAAAATAAAAATAAGAGGAAGACTATATGAAGTGATCAGGCCTTCAAAAGGGACAGGAACAAGCTTTAGAGATGGCAAAGTATTGGTCTATTCTTTCAGACCAATACACAGCACTTTGATCACTGTGCTTGATGCTATATGTTTTCTTTCCTTGTGTCAAGATTCAGCTTTCAAGAGAACACCTTGTTGGCATCTCTTGAGCTAAGTGATGACACAGCTAAAGTGAGGGTGAAACAAAGACCATAAATTCCCAATTAATGTGGCTACCATGCCCATATGACTTAGAGAGCTTGCTCCTCAAAAGAATTAGCCAAGTGCTTCTCTAAAAGGAGGGTGAGCAGCAAGAATGTTGGCAGATGAAATCACAAATGCCCAATAAAATTTCATGACTGGAATCTTCTAAAACTAGAAAATTACCCTTTATTCATACACTTAGTGAATAAATTCAAATGTGTGAAAATTGTTTGAAAACAAGAGATGTCAGAGGGCAGAGGTTATCTTTAAGCCAACTTATTATAATTTCAGGCCCCAAGGTGGGTACATCATATACAAGGTAAAGTTCATATCTTTAAGAGACTAATAATCCAACAAGGAAGAAAAGGGTTTTAAGAAAATACAGTAGTACCCTAAGAAATATTGGGTACTATTTGGGGCAAGTCGAACTCACAGCAAATAAGTTGAAATTCTCTCTGGAGAAATGGGAAATTTTACAGAGAATGGAAATGCTTAGCTATGGCTTGGGTGCATCATCTGATACCTATCACAGAGACGTCTTAAAGAAGGGGGCAGCATAAACAATAGGGGTGAGAAAGACATGTTCAAGAGACACTTATGAATGGCTCAAAGTAACTGGAGCACTGGGTTCATAGGACAAATAAGAGAAATGAGACTTTAAAAGAAAGCACTGATCTTAAAGAGTCTAGTAGCTATTATTATTTATTTATAGGTAATCCAGGAGAGGATGAGTATTCAGTGAAAAAGTTCTCTTTTTTAAAATTTCTGTTTACTTATACATTTTAATTGCAAAATAATAATTGTATATATTTAGGATTCAGTGTGGTATTTTGATCTATGTATATGTTGTTAGATGGGTCATCCAAGTTGATAAACATAGTTATCACTTCATGAACTTATTTTTTGTACAAGAATGTTAAAATTTTATCCTTTTAGAATTTGAAATACATGCTACATTATTATTAACTATGGTCACTATGCATTGTAATTAATACTAAAATTCATTCAGTTTAACTGAAACTTTGTAGACTTTGATTGACATCTATCCCTTCCTTACCTCTCCATCCATTCCTCCACCTTAGGTTTTCTGGAGAAGGCCAGAGGTGAACTGCTTATGTTAGTAAGGTTTAGGGGTGTTAAGGTCATATTATTTTCCAAATATTAGGAGATAGTATGCAATTCATATGATAATCCTAAGCATTTGAGCCATTAATTTCAATACCACAATTCCTATTCACTAACATTCACATGGCTTAAGGATAAGAACTTACCAGCACCTAGTAGATTAGTTGTTAGACTGCTTCTTTGAGCAACCAACTCCTCAATGTATTATTTTGATAGTAAAAATAGAAGAATTATTTATTTTTTTTAATATCAGAACAGATAAAGTGAAGCAATCTAATTATCATCTATTTGAATTTTAATACAGGTAAGGAGAAGAATATTCTGACTACTAAAATTGATCTTTTAAATTCTTTCAAAATTTAAAAATTCCCTTTGTGCTTGATGTAACAATTTAAGACAGTAAGTGATTATATCACAACTTCTTCTGGCCTGAATCACCTCTTTATGAGAATAGTCCTTCTTTAAGATAACATTCATTACCTCTTTGATATTGCTACAATCAATCTGCTTTTCTTGCAAAAATGTCTCTGATCTGATGTTTTATATATATATTGTCTTTTTACTCAAGGATCCACTATACTTGACTTATGTGTTCTTCTTCTCCATTATTCTCTCACTCTTCTTCTTCCTCTTCTTTCTTGTTTCCCTCCTCATCCTCTTATTCTTCTATGCTTCTTCCTCTGTGTCTTCTGCCTTCTCCATTTTTTCCAGGACAATTTAAATATATTAAGTACTTTGTCAATATATTAAACTCAGGTGTATCTTTGGATAACCTGGAACCAGTAGTCTTGAGGACAAGGGCATTGAAAGAAAAATGGTATGAAAGATATGATAGATGGGAATAAATTTGTCTCTTTTATTTGACTAATATTTGAAACTCTACTCAGATAGAGGTATTGGAAATAGAATATAGATAATGAATAGAATCTGCACTTTATGAGCAAACAGAAGAACCAAAGCAAATGGTTAGAGTACACATGGGTCAGACTTAGAGACCATGTCAAGTTCTACCTATCTCTCTTGTAATATGCTGAATTTCTATATGGAGACAAAGAAATTTCTCAAGAACCCAAACATGGAGTCTACATAGGTTCTAAATCTGCTTATGTTGAACTAAGGGCAATAAGAGACTGTGAATAGCAGACTTGGAACATTGTTAGGTACCTAGAAGGAAGACTGTCCTTCAAAGCATAGATGAGACAACAGGTCAGAAGAGGCCTGAGAGATTCTTCTTCCACGTATTGTGCTCAATGATATTTTAAAGGTGGAAGCAAACTGGCCACGTCAATCCAGTATCTCTCCCATCTTAGTTCATGTCAAATTGATGCAACAATGCTCATAGATTTCTTACCTCCTCTATTTTAGATTCTCACTATGCATTCTTATTTAGAAGATAACTAATAGGTCAAGCAACATATTTTAACCCAGGTTTTAACTTATTAATTTTTGGGTTTTAAGGAAATGTAGAATTTGATGAGTTTTTCACTTACAAACTATAGTTGTAACAGAATTCCATCTTGAAGACAGGTGGTCATCTATCTCACGATGTTTGCATTTCCTTGTTCTTATAATGGTTTTTATATTTCAGGGTGAGCTCATTTGAAAGTACCTGCTGTGCTTTTTCCATCCAAGTTTGCATGTACTCTATTCTCCTCTCAATAGTCACATCTTTAGAAGTCACTTAACTTCCATGGAAGACCGTTAATTTTTATATCTTAGCTTGCTTATGAAATTCAAATCTTTGAAATGAACATGATACACTTCATGACAGATTCTGAGTGTTAGCATCATGATTTAAAGTCCCACCAACATCTGTTTCCTTTCACCAACAATGACAAGGATTTGTCTCTTCTCATCTCACAGCCCCGACCTCTGCTCCCAAGGACTTGACAGTCATTACTCGCGAAGGGAAGTCTCGTGCCGTCGTTGTGAGCTGGCAGCCTCCCTTGGAAGCCAATGGGAAAATTACTGGTAAGCTCCCAGCTTTGTTTTCCCATTTTTGTCCTGCCTTGGCCTATTGGTTGCTTATCTCACCTGCTATTCTTACCTTTTGTCTGTTAGTTTCTGTCTCAGGAGAAACTAACCCTCCCTGATCCTCTCTGATTGCCTCTTCTTGCCCACACTGATGGAGGAATCCACATTTCCTTTGAGTTGCTTTGTGTAAGATGTGTATTTCAGTTAGGATAGGCTTTTTTGTTTTTCGTTCTATGCAGCATTAATTCGACCTTCTTAGGGAGTGCCTTGACGAAAAAGAAGCTGGTTGTTTGGTAATTATGAAATACAAAAGATGCCTAACGACCCTGTATTTTTGTGTAGTACACATGAACAAGGTTTGTCTGGGGATTTTCAATTTCTTGCTTAGCTTTTAGCTTCTTACTTAGATCATAAGGTTCAGAAAATACTTAATATTTTCTGACAGAAATTGAACAGGATGGATATTTCACAGTGACAGATTTTATTTTTCCAAATATTGCTGATAACATCAATGCCTAATTACAGCATCCATTAGAAGCCTGTAATGTTAATTTAGGTTGAAAAATATAATGGAGTTCTATCAGAGATTTTGCATTTAAATGATCACTTTAGGCTTTTAATAGGTGTCTCCATAGCATATAATTATTATGAAAAATATTGTATATCCCAAAATGTGCACATTATAGTCCAATTAACTTGAACCATCCAGTTAGGAACGTGTTTGAGTTGTTCCTGTTTCTTATTTTTTTGCATGCAAGAGATAGATAGCAGTACTATAAATTAACAAAGTGATTCAGACTCTATATGATACCAAGATAAACAAGGAAATTGAAGTTTCAGATGTTGCCCTTATTTTAGGTGAGTTACATTCTGAATTTTGCAAAATGAAAAGATAATGTGAAAATTCCAAATGTGATTGAAATTTAAGTTAAGATTTGTTTTCTCTAGGAAATTGCTCTTAGTGAAATAGGAAACAGAATTTTCTTTTGATCTGACAAATATGAAAAAAGAAGAGAAGCATAAAATCTCCCCAAATCTTTTATGTTCAATTGTCAGTATGCCAGGCCTTTTAAAACTGAGGCTGGCTCATTTCAATTTTCTTTATTCTCCCTTCTCACTGTTGCAATCTCTTTTCACTGGTTTTGTTTCAGTACTTCTATAGCTTTTGATTTATTTATATTTTATTTCATTATAAAAATTATTTATAAGCATATTGTAAATCAATGCATAATAAGTTTAAGAAGAAAAATAGCATAGAAATTGTCTAAGTAAAAACAAGGTCTAATGGAAAATATATTTTTAGTAAGGGATAAGTGATATTCCACACTCCTTTAATCTCCAGTCATACTTAAATAAATCTCTCCAAATAATCAATATAAACAATAGAATATCTTTTCACCTCTGAAAGAAAGCATAATTTTCCTTTTCTGAGGAGGATGGCAGAATAGAAGTGTGGCTTATATTAAGAAGCTCAAATTAATCTAAGCAATGAAATTTTAGTTGTCAAATTATTCAGTACATGTATAAGAAACCTTGTCCACATACTTTAGAGAGTCCTTTTCAATAATTCTTACTAATCAAAATCTATCCTTTTACAGTGGAAAAGTAGAATTCTGGAAGGCAATAATTTTTGCCTGTAAAAGCCTGGCTCATTTATTAGAATAAAGTTATGACTGTCAAGTTGAGATTTTTTTTTCACCAAGGAGAAAACACTAAGAACCCTTGAGAGAACTTCTGTTCAATGCAGATTTTGATTCTTTCTTTCATATTACTTCCACAAAATAAGGTAATAAAATGTTCAATGCACCAGGCCACAGGTCTCAAGTGTGCCTAGAATGTATGTGCTTCCACATTACATTTGTCTTGGATTATTTTCCTAAATCCTTCAAGAAAACAACAGTACAGCATGGTGGTCCAAGCTCCTAATGCTTGGATAAGTCATTCAATCTCCCTGAAGTTCTCTTTCTTACTGTGAAATAAGGATAGAAATTGCAGCTATCTCATAGAATTTTTACAGTAATAAAGTACTGAGAAAAGGGGGTAGGGTAGGTAAGAAAGAGTAACAGAGGCATGTAATATGCATCTATGAACATTAACATAATGAATTTCCTTTATGCAATTAATATATGCCAATTAAAAGGAGTTTTTTAAATCCACCAAATAAACAAAATCCCAAGTGTAAAAGGAGGAAATTCAGATAATTTCAGAGCCTAAATTCTCTGATCATATGCTAGCAATTTAGGAATTTGAACTCACCTTTTCAGAAAATCATTGCTCAAAATACATTATGCATTTATAATATGGTTGGCATCCTGCTAGATATTTTAGTATTATAAGTGATTGAATATTCCTATTATTTCACTTTGAAATGAAGAGATTAAGTTTTGAGGATTAAACAGCTCATCCAAAGTCAAATAATCAAGAATTGGCAGAGCTAGGATTAAAAACAGGTCCATATATTGTTTTGCTCCAACTTTAGGATTCTACTCACTTAAATTCATGACTTTCAACTGAACTTTGATTTAATTCATTTGAGGAGGGACTGAGCATAGTATTCCTTAAAATTTCCCAAGTGCTTTTCATGTACAGCCAGAGTTGTGAAACACCGCTTTCAATAAATGCTGTACCCAGCACTGCCTAAATCTGGGACTCTCAGAGAGTGTTCCTATGCAATCCCATAGCTAAGGCTATTCTTTTTCTGTATCATTTATAACCCTGGTCTAGTTTCTCCTCCCCATGAAATTCTCTCTCTTGACTTACAAAATCATCAACCCATTTTTCTTCTTATTTGCACAGTCCTGTGACCTGTTCCTTAAGTGCTGCTTTCCAGAATGCAGGACATTTTCTTCCCTTTATTAATTTCTCTGGAGAAATGTCTGTACTAGAATTTGGGCATCAGTGACTACTTATTTGGATATCTGAAATCTGTATCTCCATCAAAAAAATTTGTAAACTCTCAAATCCAACTTCATATTATACATTTCCCTGCCCATTGTCACCTCTCTAATCACCCCTCTCCCATCTTTTTCTTTTGGGTTTTTCTTTTCTACAAATTCACCACAACTAGTCAAATATCACATTCTTAAGTCCTATAAAAGGTTGTAATGTCAATAAAGATTTTGACCCATCTGGGCACTCACATTGGAATCAAATTTATATGAATGTTCTTACTCCCATTTTTTCAAAAGCCTCTGCAGTTTATTCAGTTGCAGAACTTGGGAACAAGAAATCATCATGGCTTCTTCTTCCTCATCCCCTTTCCATAAAATCATAAGAGAAAATCTTCTAGCTTTTAGTAACTGGCTAGAAGATGCATTGATAAATATTTGTTGAATATGTTAATCACTAAGTTGCTATTAAATATATTATTTCTCTTCGGTTGATCCAGCATTGACTTTCTTCATCACTGCAGCATTTCTCTGACTAGCAATGTGACGATGTAACAAATGAGATTTTCTCATTTAATAATAAAAAATTGTGTAATGTTTTGCAAAAATAAATAAATAAATAAAAATAAATATATTATTTCTGTTTGAATTGAGCCTGAAGTTCCAGCTCTGCTAAGTTGGCTACTTCCTTAAGGTTTATTATGAAATAAGTAATGATAATAATAGCTACAGCATTTAATAAGTAGTTATATGTACAGGATAATATAATATAAACACCAATATTGCATTAAGTTCTTCAAAATGTTGTTAGCAACCTAGTCTCAGAGGAGAAAATTGAAATACACTTAGATTAAGTAAAGTGATTCAAGATACACAGCCAGTAAATGGTAGACTTGAAATCAAGTCTTCCTGAATCATAGGCTGCAACTTTTGAGCACAGACAAGGAGGAAATGGGTTCTTTCCTTATCCACACACTTGCATTCACAATTACCACAGTCACTTCTTTCAAGATCAAAGCCCTTAGCTGGCACCAGTGTCGCACACCTGTAATCCTAGCTACTTGGAAGGGGGAAGCAGAGATCATGAGGACTGCAGGTCAAGTCCATCCTGGGCAAATAGTTCACGAGATCCTGCAGCAATACGAGCTGGTGTAGTGGCTCAAGTGGTAGAGCACTTGCCTAGGAGGCATGAAGCCCTGAGGTCAAATACCAGTAAAAAAAAAAAAAGATTTAAACCCTTGTTAAAGATTAAAAGGCTTCAGTGGGTTGACTGCTTCTTGATAGGGACTCTGTTACATAGCTTGGTCTTCCCAGTAACTACCAGTCTACCTGATCCATGGAAGGGAATCACTAATGAATGTGAAAAAGAATGGGAAAGGACAGGAAAGAAGGTTGCTTCTAAAGTCATAACTGTATATTTGTATAAGTAGAATCAAAATGATTGATGTATGATGTTATATTTTACATATATTAGACAAGTGTGATTCCAAAATGTGAGTGTATTACCGGGTTTGCAATACCAGAAGATCTTAACGAAGTATGATGGCAAATAATACCCTATTGTTCAGGTAATAGTGGTAGAATAAGAGGCATAAATGAGGTAGAAAAAGGAAAAGAAAGGGATTGAGAAAGAGACACAGGTAAGTATAAAGTGAAAAGAACAGAGAAATATAAAGGTGTATGAAGGTATTAATAAAACAATGCCTTTGTTTTAACCTGCATGGTTATGGGGAAATCCAGAAGATAAAACTTCAATGGTAGGTTTAATATCTTCCAAATACATCAAAATTGCATACTGAAATGAAATTCTATGCTTTTTCTAAGGCCATTTTTAGTATTTAATGATATAATCTATTGCTTTTCTCTAGTTCACCTCTCAAATTAAAAAAAAAAAGTGTGGGCTTCCCCAGAAAAATTAGGAAACTGCTCAAACAACAATTTGGCATTTTCTAAATCTGATGCTCACACATTCAACTTTTTTTTTCAAGACTATTGTCTCTTTATCACTTAATCGTTTTTACATTTACTCACATGGTGTACATTGTTTGTGTCACCTACTCCCTTCCGCACCCCCCCACCCCATCCCCACCTGCTTCCAGGCAGAACCTGTTCTGACCTCATGTTCTCTGATTTTGTTGAAGAGAAAGCATAGGAGATAATAAGACATATCAATTTTGCTACTTTGAGATAAAGATAGCTAATACAGAGAGATTCCTAGCATTGCTTCCATGCACTTGTGAATTGCAACCCACATTGGTTCATCTCTACTAGACCTCTTCAGTACTTCCTGGTTCCCTTCCCATAGTGGCCTCTGCCAATTTAAGATTACTTTGTTAGTCCTCTACAGTGGGCACATCAACCTCATTCAAGTTTTAGGTTTCCTTTCCTTTCCCTGTTTCTCCAGTGCACATTCTGCACTTAGTGTGTGACCCATTTCCAATAATATTACTGTATTTGTTTTGGGTCTGTTATCTGCATATGAGGGAGAACATGTGATTTTTTGGCTTTCTGAGCCTGGCTAACTTCACTTATGATGATGTTCTCTAGTTTTATCCATTTACCTGTGAATGACAAAAATTTCATTCTTCTTTGTGGCTGAGTAAATTTCCACTGTGTATAAATACCACATATTCTTGATGCATTCATTGGTTGTGGGACATCTTTGCTGTTTTCATAGTTTGGTTATTGTAAATAGTGATGCAATGAACATGAGTGTGCAGGTGCTTTTGCAATAACTTGAGTTGCATTAATATATCCCTAAAAGTGGTATTGCTGGATCATATGTCTATGTTTACTTTTTTAAGCAGCCTCCATATTGTTTTCCAAAGTGGTTGTACTAGCTTTCATTCCCACCAGCAGTGTATGAGGGTTCCTTCCTCCACCTCTCCCCTGCCACATCCTGCCCAACGTATGTTGGTGGTGGTGTTCTTGATGCTAGTCATTCTAACAGGACTAAGGTGGAATCTTAGTGCGGTTTTGATTTGCGTTTCCTTTTTGGCCAGGGATGGTGAACATTTTTTCATGTGCTTTTTGGTCATCTGGATTTCTTCCTTTGAAAAATTTCTGTTTAGTTCAGTTGCCCATTTTATTGGTTTATTGATTTTTGGGGAGTTTAGTTTTTTAAGCTTCCTGGTTATCAGTCCTTTGTCTGAATTATAGCCAGGAAATATTTTCTGTCACACATTCAAATTTAACTATTTAATTCCATCCTTCAATTTTTAAATGTGTAATTTTTACATAGATAAGATCCCAGTGAAGCCAAATGTTTTGTTCTCATTTGATAAATGCAGAAAATCAGGCATAAGCCTCGCTTAGCCTAGATGGGAACACAATTCTCCAAGCTTTCTGCTTCATCATGCACTTACAACAGCCAAGGAAAACTTGAACAATTTCATTAAGTGTCATGAATGTAAAACTTACATACTTACAAGCTAAAGGACTTCATTTAGTTAGTGAATTTCAGTACCTATTATGTGAAGACTACTTTATTAGATTTTTCTGGGGAATAAAAATATAATATAAGACATGTCTCCTGAACTATAAGAATGTTTTTATCCTTTTGAAGAGATAAGACATGCACATAATAAAAACTGGAAGAAATTGCCTTCTTTTCAATAGATATGGTTCTTTAAGGATAAGAATGGAGAAAAATCTGGACCAAAGAATATGAAGATAATTTATTGATATCAAAGATGGATACTGGGTTATAAATGAATGGATATCCCTGGAAACAACTTCTTTATCCAATGAAATTTTGCAATCACTCATCCAATGATATTTCAGCATATCTTTTGAATTATAGCCTTCCAATCTTAATATTTAATAGAAGCAAGAGTCTTACAACATTCTTAAGTTTTTAGTATTCTTTATATTGGCAAGTCTTTTACCTTTTCTTGAGCTCTCAGCATCTATAGACATTCATGTTTTTTAGGACATTCATATTTGCAGGATTGACATTGCAATAAATGCCAATAAGTATACAAATCCTGCATAATGACTAAAGACAATGATTCTTGACAGAAATAATCTGGGATACAGATTGCTTTGTTATTCTTAGTCTATTTTACTAGGTATTTGCTGTGTACCAATATTCCTACAAATTTAACAGCTTAACACATATTTGTTACCACAGTTTCTGTGTGTCTAGAATCTAAGCACAATTTAGCTAAATATTATGATTTTATGTTTCATACAAGGCTACAAATCAAGATTTTGGTCTTGCCGAAGTCTTACTTTTGGTTAGACTTGGAAAATATTTGCTTCTAAACTTAAGTGGTTGTCAGCTGGATTCCTTACTGGCTGTTGGCCAGAAACTACCCTCACTTCTTGCTACATGGTCTCCATTTGGCAGTTTTTCAAAGCCAAAACAGGAGAGAATCTATAAAGTCTGATAGCATTAGATAAGTCATAATCTTAACTAACGGTATGAGACATTCTATCACATTCACTGTACCTCATTGGTTAAAAGCAAGATTTAGAATTTTCCTAAACTCAGACTGAAAAGATTATACATGAATACCAATGAGTAGGAGTAATTGGGGGTCAGCAATGACTGCTCACCATAAGTATCCAACAAAAAGCCCTGTCTTGAAATCTAAGTGTTTTTTAATAGAATTTTTACCCACCCTTCAAGCTATTCTTAAGGATTAGGCAGATATAGGAAACATCAAACTAGGGGAGGGGTGAAAGCCAATGCAAAATAGATACACGTTTTCAGCTTTGGTCCTATTTTAAGAAAAATGGGCTTCTGAATATTGGGTTTTCTAACATTGCTTAATCCAACACTAACACAAGGAAAAATCCAGTCCAGAGTCCAGAATGCACCCCCTAAACTCATGTATAATTCTTTTAAGCACTATTGGCTGAAATGATGAACAATATAAATGCATACGTCCTCTTGTACTTCATAAAAGTATGATGTTTACAGAAAGGAAAGCTCTTGATTGACGGAGGTTCATAGGACATATTTAGCTTAAAAGGGACCTTAAGGGGTGGGTGCAATGTGGTTAAAGAAAGTACAGAAAGGTAGAATGGTCTGTGAAAGAAAAGTAAAGATGACGATATGGTGAACAGTCTTCTCATAGTGATGATTTGTACTGTGCTTATTTTGGAAGGGAGACAAATCTCAGATAATTATGACATAATCATGGCAAAAATCTGTCAGAAAAGGTTCACAGTCCAGATGGGAGCAAGAAGATAGAGTATGTGACTCAAAGAAAGACAAGTAATTTTAAGAAAATGATTTTCAAAGAATGTATAAAATACATAAGAATGGACCTAGGGTAATTTTTCATCTATGTGATGTACATATCATTGCAGAATTTTGGCAGAAATGATCAGCACCATATTCACGTAGCAACAGCACCCATAATGAGCCCCTTTACAATTTCATTTGACAGTATAATATAAAAAATTATTAATTACATTCAATAAGAGCTTCCTCCACATAAATTGGCCAAGTCTGGAGTCAGAATATGAATATTTTATAAGGATACCCGGATTTGTTTGGGTACATATTAGACCAACTACACTATTAGCATTCAAGTAACACATTCCCTAACAGAGAACAAATGCCATCAAATGACAGGTTATTAATATTTGAGATACTAACTAGATCACATATAGTTATCCAGTTTTATTTATTTCCTTTGCTGGGCTGGAAGATGGGAAATAGTGTTAGATTTTTTTTTTTGGATGATGATAGAGGATATGATTCCAGCCTTTTACCAACTAGTTTGGGTTACCTTCAGCTTCATCATCTGTGAAGAGAAAGCAACAGGGTCCCTGCCAAATTTACCAAGTTATTACAGTAGTAAAATATGATCATTTATTTTTATAACACTTTAAACATGTATAACATTTTATACTTCCCAATGTATTTTAATTTTTTAAACACAAGCTAAATAAACATTACTTATTTTCATTATTGGATTGCAGTGAGAATTATATAGAGTTGTTATCTTTGTTTCACATTTTTCATCATGATTATATATTAGAGCAAACAAATGATCAGAATTTATAGGTAGCAGAAACCATGCATTTTTAAATGTAACAGATATTTTTATTTTTAATAGCCTATTTAATTTTCTGATTCTGTACATGGAAGCAATTATTTATCCTTCTTTGCAGCATTAAAAATTGCTTGCAAAACTGAATACTGTAGTTTACAGATTATAGACATCTAGTAATTATTTAAAAATTTTATTCAGAAACATGACTGTTTGCAAGTAGAACTACAGCATGTACTCCATACATTATGCAAAGTTGCATTTGTCTATTTTTTACAGCTTACATCTTGTTTTACACCTTGGACAAGAACATACCAATTGATGACTGGATTATGGAAACAATTAGTGGTGATCGGCTTACCCATCAAATCATGGATCTCAACCTTGACACCATGTATTACTTTCGAATTCAAGCACGAAATTCAAAAGGAGTGGGACCCCTTTCTGATCCCATCCTCTTCAGGACTCTGAAAGGTTTGAAGCATTTCTTATTATGCCTTCCTTTTTCAGTGGAATTGCTATAAAGTAGCTTTGTGTTGGAAACTGCCCTAGATCATTTCTGTGGCAACATAGCTTCCTGGACATTCAAAATCATCTAAAAAGTACCTTTTATGCTCAAAACCAACATGTCAAAGAAAAATCTATTGCATTATCACATTTTCTACCATCAGCACAAGGCAAACATATTTAACTTGACTTTTTTATTTACAATCCTTTTGGAATTTTACATTGGCTCCATGTATATTGGTTTTATTCAAAATATAATAAAACCCTTTGACCTTTCATGTAAAGGAATAAACATTTAAATGCATTGAATTATGTGAATTATTGCCAACTTTAAATATTTTCTTGGAATTATTAAAGGAAATATGGCTGCTGCAAGACTGAAAATTTCAAACAAAATTAATATGTTTAAGAACCAGAGCAGAAGCAATGAAAAAATTTTCAATATGATTACAAGAAGAAAAGTTCACATGCTTTTAAGAATATAAATAGCTACTCAGTAAAATAGTTACATATCCATACAGAAAAACACTACAATCCAAGAATAGTGATTACATATGAAAAGTATTTAATTTTCATAACAGCAATTACTGTTTCAGAGCACATTAATAATTTCTATATGACAAATGGTTTCAAGAGCTTCTGCCATTTAATAATGGAAAATAATTTGAATGTTCCATAACTGATATTTAAAGATACACATATTTAAGGCATTATGTACATAGCTTCAAAAGACAGCTTGGCATCTAAATCTGTGACAAAATAATGCCTATATATCTTGCAGAAAACTTGATAATAAATGATGGAAAACAAACTGAAATACTGGAAATGCATGGATGATCGACATTCCCACGCATTTGTTAGACATACTAAAATAAGAGTCCTAGAATATCTGTATTACTGTATTTCTCAGCTCTCCTCATAAATACCCTAACAAAGAGTGGACTTTTGAATTCTCATGAGTAAGCTATTCAAATCCTGAGTTTTGGTAGCAGATTTTCTGAAAGTTTGCCAAGAATACACAAACAAGCGTTCAGCCTAAGCCTGCATGGCAGTTCTTAATGACAGAGTAGAAATTTTTAGAGAGGCAGGGAATACATGAGCTAATCTTTGTCCAGGTTTTCAGGACTTCATGTCTAAATCAGGTTTCACTGAAATGAGCAATCAAAAGGCAGCCAGTTACTCATTTTGTGAGAGCATAAAATATAACCAGATCCTGTTTTGCAAATGTTTCAGCTTTATCTGTAGAAGAGTGCCAAATTAATTTCATGCTCACAATGTAGGCAAACTAAGAGAGCCTGAGGAGAGCTTCAGACAATTTAATGTATCCAAATGTTTTAAACAGTAGACTGATGAGTTAGCACAGGACACACTGCCCCGGCGCCATCAATAACCACCCAGTATGTTTAAATGAACTCAGTATTTCACTTGGTACTGTTCACTGTTTACCCTGAGTTCTCTAAAATAATCTGTAAAATAATTTTCTTGTATTTTCAATACAAGATGTATTTCTAATTCCCTGATTTGTTTTTTAAATATTGTCTTTCCTAAATATGTCATTCTCAATAATAGATTCCTAAACAAATATTTCTCATTTGGAAAAAGAAGTTTTTCATGTCTTGAGTGCATTTTAAATTGCCCCAAAATAGTGATATTGTTCATCTTTATTAATAATTGACATTGTACACACATGCACTGAGCATGTCAGTTTCAATGACAAATGTTCGCAGACCAATAAATTACTTATCATAAACAGACTTAAAACCTCCAATGGATGAAATCTATACCTAAGACATAAAATCATTTTATTGCTGTCTGATTTAAGATTTTCAGTTCCCATAGTGGTTTCAAAACATAAGGGCTCTGTTCTTTGGAATGTAACCTTGTTTGACAAAGAGAAAGGCTTAGATGTTTTCCTGAAACACAAGAAACTAGCAGTAGTCTACTGGGTAATGGACAAATGATTCATTACAAGTCATGCCTCGAGCAGGTGTCCACAAGCCTCATTCTTTTTTTTATTTAGTATTTGCAAAAATGAAGGATTTTATACTTGAAACTGGAGTTTTATCTTTTTAATATGAGCAACCAACCAGAGAAATACAGGACACTAAATCACAGTAGTCATTGGTTAATTAAATGGACATTTATAATCAGATAGGAGTTATATTACTCTATACTTAAATACATGTATATCTGTGATTTAGCTAATTCTGTCTTTGGAATGTTAATTAAAAGAGTTTTCGAGTTTATTCTCTGACCACATAAAACTCTGCAAATACCCTCTCACACCCCCTCCCCACATCTTTCCTAGGCTTCCATTAGGATACCCACACACCACACACTGTTAGAACAATGGAAACTGTACATCTGGTTCTTGTCTATGTGTGTTCCTTCCTATGTTTGCGTGTCTGTGTTGGTCTGTGAAGTAATAGGGAAGAAGGATATTCCCAATGCAGTGGACAACAGAAAATTCCAACAGAGAGAGGGAGTCATTTCCTATACACAAAAGACCAATGCGTTCAGCAATAAATGGTGACTAGGGTATGGTATATTCTCTGGATAGCCTTAATTCCTATTTTTAAATGTTTCTCTTTTATTCCCATCCAGAAATAACACTCAATGAAAGCTTTGTACCAGAACAGGAAAGAAAGGTTTAATGTTCAAACTATTTTGTGACAAAAGGCATGAATTTTTGACATGACATTAATAAATAAAAATTCAAGGCACAAATCACACAAGACTTTTAAGCCATTATTAGTATTTAATAAAGGAAATTATTAGAAACCATTTGGTCCCTATTGGGAAATACTCTTCAGTAAATATCATTTTTCAAAATATGGAAAATTTATCAAGTTATATTCATCTAGCTTCACAAATCCAGAAGATATTACATATATTTATTTTCACTTGCTAAAAGTATCTTAAGCCACAGATACTGCATAGAATATGATCAATGATAAAGGAAGAAATAAAGAATGAAGATGAGATTCAGTTGGTTTTCTTTTTTTTACTTCATTTCCAACAGTTCTCCACTAAATATGAGATGTTGATTTGGATAGTGACAGGAGTGTGTACTGCTCTAGCTACCAATCCACTACTCTTCACAGATTGTGTGGTATTTATGACTATAAAATATTCAACCTCCTTCTTTCTATAAACCTGATGTGTTGATTCTGACAACACAGTGTCCTTCCTCAAAAACTACTTAATGATTTGCTTTGAAAACTTCATTATTTTCCTAGACTACATATAATTCAATTGTCTATCAAAAGCACCTGTCACCAACCCCTTAACACCATAATAAAAAGTATTTTGAGAATCATTAGTCTTCAGTGTGAGAGAAAAATCAATGCAAAAATTAGATTCTAATGATTAGATTATAAAAGATTGCACTAGAAAGTGTGGTGAATTTTTAAACAATTGTTAAATTTTGAGAATATACAAAGACATTTAGGGCTAGTGGAGTGGCTCAGGTGGTAGAGCACCTATATGAGGCCCTGAATTCAAACCCTAGTACATCCGAAAAGAAAAAATTTATAAATATCAATCCATGCATAGAGGACAAGATTCTAAACACTAAACCAGAATGGAGCCTCAAGATAAATAAACTCTGTAGATCTACCATTCAGTTTCCTTTAGATAACAATGCCATATTGTACACTTAAAATTTACTAAAAAGGTAGATCTTATATTTTATTCTTATAATGAGAATTATAATAACAAAAGATGTGCAAGGAAACTTTGGGAGGTGGTACATATGTCTACAACAGTGATAATGGTGGATTTCATGGATGTATACTTATCCCCAAACTCATAAAGTTATGTACATTAAATATGCATAACTTTTTTAGCAATCATATCTTAACAAAATGTTTTCTCTAAAACACAAATAGCATCTTATTTTATAATCATTCTTTTTCATACACCATGTTTACAAAGATTAGTTCAGAATAGAATGTCTACTGCATATTAATATAACTTTTCATAGATTATCTCTATATATTATTTTTAAATAAAGGAAATTGTGTTGATCTCTGGTTTAGAAATCTATCCCATCCTGTGATAAATATAATATCTTTTAATCTGAGCAGGAATGTTTGTTAACTACAGCCTTATTTAAATATTTTGATTCTGTGCATTCTTATTTCTGTTCCTATGTTTAGAAAATAAAGGATCACCATCTGTATGACATTGGACTTTAAGTTATTCTTCAAACAATGTTTATAAATTTGCTATAAAACATAGAGAACTGACTATGTTATACATTACTGCTGTGATATTTTACTGTATAATTTTCAATAAAACATTAAAAAAAATCAAACCAACAAGCATAGAATCTTACCTGTAAAGTTCAAGTGCAATTAAGGGAGTTATGTACACTCAGAACACTCAACTGAATACAGTCAAGTTGGGTGAAATAATTCTATTTGACAGAGGCTTACAGAGATCTGCATTGACCAAAATGCCATATCACAGTTTTTAGCCATTCAATAATACTAAAAATTTTCCCTTTAAACATTTTCATTTGGTTAATGAAAAATCCAATTTTTTAATATTAGTAATACTTTAAATTTTTAAAAAAATCTTTTTTTTGATAGGTGGACTTTATTTTAGCATACATTTAAATCTATAACTCAACCTGGTAATATACTTTTTAGGTGCCAGGATTTTTGTCTTGATTAGCTGGCAATTTTTACATCAAGCTTTAGTATGTTCCCAAATAGTAAATTGAGAATCAGAACTAATTTCAGTATGAAAGAGGTTTTACACACATTAGAGGCATATGTGAAAGTGTATTTTAAGATGTGATTGTATAAAATTGACTTTTGGTGAATGCAATCCAGTAGCAGTTCTATATTTTTTGATAAGCACTCATAAGTCACCAGAAGTTGTGAACAAGTTAAGGGTTATCTTCACAAGACTAAAGATTTATCAAGTGATTACGGTTATTCTACACTGATGATTTTCAATTATTTTCTCCTATATATCTAGGAATTGACTAAGTTCTATCTAAAAAATTGCATATAAGAAGTAGCTCTCTGTACTTACTTAAAATATCTGGGTGGTAATCACTTGGTAAGTGCATCCTGTTTATTTTACTATTAATTCTAGTTTTAATTAAACTTACAATATACTCTTCTGAGCTTAGGATTAGAAGGATTTCACAAATAATATATTAAAGTATATTTACACAGAAAAACATGATTTTGAATTTTTCCCTCTATTTATATAATAGAAATAATCATATATAACTTTGGATCTTTCTTCATTTCACTTCAGTAGGGCATTGACCTTGGTATGAAAATGTGCTAACAAAACTGTTGATTTGATATGTCAGCTTTCTTGTTAAGAACTGTCTAAGTCTGATAACATTATTTCTCTTCTCCCACAGTGGAACACCCTGACAAAATGGCTAATGATCAAGGTATGGTGGCTCAGTCTGTCATTTTTCTCTCCTTAGATCAATCCTATGTGTTGGAATTGTCAGTCATTGCTTTGCATTCCTCTTTTCACCTGGGCCATACACCTGATGGTGCATGATCAGTGGAGTGATGATTAATCTTGTTAATGAAGTTCTGCTTGGCTGAGGCTCCGGTCTGATAGGGAAGATGTAAATTTTCTTGAGAGGAAATTGTTTTGTCTCTGTTCTGAAGGACCAATTAAAATGTCAAGCTTCTTTGTATGAAATAAATTTTTAGTCTCTGTCTGCACTTCTGAATAATTCACATTAAGTATAATTAAGCTCAGCATAATTTTCAAGCTGCTCCTGCCCCCTTTCATGAGCTACGGATTAAAGTTCTGTAGCACTACATAAATCATTTCCTCTGCAATGAGTTTATTTTAATAAATAAACACAAAATTGGTCAACTTTTTTAGGTCAATATCATTGCTAATTTGAAGCTAGGAAGCTATCATTCTATGAACCAGACCCTGCTCTGACTAGAGGATTTTCCCTTCCTTTCATGGTATTACTAAAAGCTGATTTGTGTAGAGAAACAAAGATGGTTTTACACAAAGGAAAATGGAGATAAATATGAGTTATTCTTCAATTCAAAGTTAGATAACAATTTGCTACTAACATGATTTGTAGGCTGATTGATAAAGTACTATCTTTGCACTAAAAATGGTTAATAGAATTCTTACAAAGGACAAGAAGACTTAATGAGTTTCATTTTTTAAGGATGTTATATACTTTTAAGGAAGAAATTGGAAATACTAGTAACTTGTTGTAGACGCGGTTGTCCATATTGCTATTTCAGAGTTGCCAGTTGTTAGTCTCCTGCTTTGGACAAGTATATACTGTTAGCACAACTGACCCATAAACACCAGGACTCATAAGGCACTACATGGTTAGATTAGAGAAAAACATTTTGATATGAGTACTTTATAACTTTTGACAAATATGAAACATCTGGGTTTAGCTGTCACTAACATCAGAAGGCTGCCTATATTAATAGTATTTTCTTCAATGACATCACGTCCAGCTTTGGTCCTGGGTCCCTATCCTGCTACTTTTTAATAGGACATGGCTGGAAGTTTACATGTTGAGTAGTAAAAATGATAGACTGCATAGAAATGTCTATCCCGGGTTAAGATTTCCATTACTCTAGCTGTTCCTGTTTGCTTCCATAGAAACTGTTCTTATCAGATCAATACCTACCAAAAGGTAATATTTGTAAATGATATTGATGATGAGCAATTATCACTAAAGATACATTTCCTTAGGTAAATTAAATATCAGGGCTGACCAAATCCAAAGGTGGAATAATTAATTAGTAGAAGCCCTTTCATTATCTCAGTTATAAAATAGTTTAAATGACCTCTCAGAACCTTCTTTGCTAAAGAGACATTGGAATATCCAAAAACAGATAACTACTAACTTTTGAAATTTTATTTGGAAGAACTAGTTATATAGGGAAAAATGAAAACAATAATAAAAATTTGAAGAGTAACCGAACTGTTTGAAAGTTTATATAACTTCTCAATAAATGAATTCCAATTCTTTCTGGATAATTACTTGTTTTGTTATAATTTTTCAGTTACCTTTTTATTTAATCTTCTTGATGCAGGAGATTGAACACAGGGCTCATACTCTACCACTGAGTTACAAACCCAGTTTAATAATATTAGCTATCAAATATGAATATTTTAAATTTAATATTTTATAAAAGACAAAATATTCCATCTGCTGGCCATATTCTGGTCTTACTCTGATTGTCACATCTTCAGTGGAATCAGGTCAGTTTTCAAAAACAAAAGGAATTCTCAAGAATTAGTGACTGTGGCTAAAATGATTAATATATTTAGGCAATTGTGGTTTTCCTCCACCTACTATTGCTTAGAAAAATTCTGTCACATATTATTCTACTTTGTGCACAGCTGGTGTACAGTTGGTCAAATTGGTAATCTCTAAATTATAAATTAAACTCAAGTCACTTGTACTATTGAGAAGGACTGATGACATATAATTTAGTGGTTATAAGTAAAGTCTCCAAATTCCTGCAAAGAAAGCATATAAAATTTGTCAGACACCAAATTCTGTTATAAACAAAGTCAGTCTTCTGAGTTGATGGCTAAGTGCTTCAGATTAAAGATTTCCCTAATAGTGGTGAAAATTATGTTAGAAGACTATTCTGAATGCGCCCATGCTCAGCAAAAAGCAAATCAGTTGAATATGTTTTATCCTACTCACTGTTAGACCTATGTGTCCCTTTCCATGGAGAAATGATGCCACTGTTACATTAGTGACACCAGCTGAACATCTCCTGAGAAAAATTCCCTCTGAGAGAAAATTTGGTACCTTGAGTCAGAGATGAACCCTAAATAAAGAAGCAAGAGGTTGAATTTGACTTATATGTGAGATTGTGCCTTCAAATGTTCTTGTCATAATTAGTTTTCTTGGAACCTAAGATTTATAATAAAGAACATAAATATGAAGAGGTTATATTGGAAACAGTTTTGATTTGGGGAAATTATTTTCTTCTGGGTAATAGTAATAGTAGTATGAAAATTATAGACAATTAGTGTAAACTTTTAATCTTTGGGTGTAAATTGATCATATCTAGCATTTTCTTAACTTTCTAATCTTAACCTATTCTATAATCCCCCTGTTTTGTACTCCTCTTCTGTTTTGTTCAGTGTCCTAATTATTTCTGGAAACTTCCAGGCACAAGTGGCCAGTGTATTTGAAAGTAACTGTGAGATTTCAGTGACTAACCACAGATTTTTGGAGGGTCGATGGGGAAGGAAAACACACAGGCTATGTGAAGTAGGTGTAGAAGGTACAGAAGAGCAGTACTTCACATTTTATCCCTGTTCTCATTTCCATATTTTGATTAAAACTCTTTCAATTTGCCTGTATCTGCATGGATCTGGGTGGGGATGTGTAATGGTAAAATGAATCCCTATGAAGTTCTTACTGTCAGTCACTCTTCTAAGAGCTTGACTGATTCATTGAATCCTCATAGTACTGAAACACATGCTGTTACTCGGTCCATTTGAGTGATGACGAAGCTGAAGTCCAGAGAGTGTAAATGGCTTGCCTATAGAAGCACAGCTAGTGAGTAGCAAGACCATGATTCACACCCAGAAACCTTCTTCCAGAGGCCCTGTCCTTAACCCCGCAAGTGTGTTCATCATGTGTTTGTTACATAAGTACATAGAAATCACACATGGCATCTATCCATAGAGTTTCTAAATCTAAAGTTTTATGTACTGATAGTTTTCTAATATGGACCACCTCTTCCCCATATCTGTGAATGCTCTAAAGAACAAACAAAGCAAATGGCCAATATCTGAGATCATCTGATTAGCAGGAAGTCACAGCATTGAGTATATTGTCCCAGAAACACAAGGACTGTGTTAATCCTACTGTATTAGGAGGCTTGGGCTGTCAGTACAGAATCCCAAGTATTGGATAGATTAAATAACAAAAGTTTGTTTTCTTAGATTTCAGCTGAAAGCCCCCCATCAAGGGTCAGCAGTGTGGTGAGTGATGAGTTCAGCAGAGTAATGAGTACTATTTTTGCTTGCTGATGGCCACTGTGTCTTCACATGGTAGAAAGAGAGCAGCTCTCTGGTGTCTCCTCTTAAAAGTACACTAATGTTATTGAATCAAGGGGCTATACTTAAGACTTCTCTCCACCTTGTTTCTATAAAGAACCTAAAACCAAATAGAGTCACCTTGCTGAATTTGGGGGGATGGGGCAAAATTCATCCTATAGCATTCACATTCAAATGGAGCATTGTTCATTCCCTCCTTTAGAAGTTATCTTCCCAATTTTTCAAAGAAACAGAAAGTAAAGGTTTTTGCCAAAGTCATATAAGTAGCTTTGGACAGAGTTAGAACCTGAAATGTTTCTTTCTAACTCCTCGGAACTGTAGTCTTTCCACTGTAGAATGTAGCCATACTTATAAAAACTAGATTTTTGTTATTGCAAAAGTAGATTAAACCTTTTGGAGCTTCTCACAGAAGCATTTTAGAAAATCCCCTTGTTTGGGAGGTTGCAATGAATGTTAGTTTTAACTATAAAATATGACCACTTATCCAAAGTGATTATTAGATCGAACTTTTAATCCTAAGGGATTTTTTTTCCTCTTTAAATTCTGGGTAACGCCGAAATATTGTTCTCCAACTTGAGGTGTCTTTGTATGAAAATTGGTATTCTTAATATGAGCAACTGTTTATGATTTTATGTGTGATTTCTATGCTGACCATTGTGGCAATAGAGTAGGTCCTATGGCAATGGTAGATTGCCTGAAAGAGGGCAAGAATCTTTGTGAAATGCTTTATGTTATTATTGAGATGAATTATAAAGAAAATGCTCACTTCTAGCACTTTCAAGTCTCTTTAATTCTCCATGACCTGACATAGAGATTACCTGAAACACTGGACCTGGAGAAGAGGCATACATTCATAGGCCAATTTATAGATCCAGGTAACAAAGACTTATGTGAACTTCTCTCTTGAGAAGGAAGGGAAATTAGTCTTCTCCGAACCGTAATAATGGTACATAATGCTCTAGCTTTGCCATAAGCAGTCGCTCAGTGTGTGCTCTAAATGTATCAAAATAGAGTAGGATCCCTTACATGCTAGCCCAGTCCTGCCAATGGAACCTATCATGTAGCTGTGAGCATGAGAAATAACTTCTCCCAGCATTCTCACCTGTAAAGTGGGTTAGCCCATATTATTTTTTTGGTGTCTTTAGAGTGCTAAGATTCTCAAGCTTTAGTATTGGTACTAGAATAAAAAACAACAACAACAACAAAAAAAAAACAGGCATATCACCTTTACACAATGTAACAACTCATGTTAGTGGTTTTTCCACTATGCATCAACCACTTTTCTAAGCCCTGTGAGTGTACTACCCTAATTTTCCAAAAAATTTTACAGGTGGAGAAAATGAGATACAAAGGGGCTAAAAC